CAAGCTTTACTACAAAGCTGTGATCACCAAGACAGCATGGTACTGGCACAAAAACAGACATGTAGACCAGTGGAACAGAGTAGAGAGGAGAGACCAGATATGGACCCTCAACTCTAGGCTTAAATAATCTTTGACAAAGCAGGAAAAAATATATAATGGAAAAACACAGTCTCTTCAATAAATCCTGCTGGGAAAATTGGATAGCTATGTGTAGAAGAATGAAACTCGACCATTCTCTTACATCATATACAAAGATAAACTCGAAATGGATAAAAAACCTCAATGTGAGGCAGGAATCTATCAAAATCCTAGAGGAGAACATAGGCAGTAACCTCTTTGACATCAGCCACAGCAACTTCTTTTAAGATATGCCTCCAAAGGCAAAGGGAACAAAAGCAAAAATGAACTTATGGAAATTCATCAAGATCAAAAGCTTCTGCATAGCAAAGGAAATAGTCAATAAAACAAAGAAGCAACCAACGGAATGGGAGAAGATATTCACAAATGACACTACAGACAAAGGGCTGATATCCAAGATCTATAAAAAAATCCTCAAACACAACACACAAAAAAACAGATAATCACATCAAAAAATGGGCAGAAGACATGAACAGACAATTCTCCAAAGAAAACATACAAATGGCTAACAGACACATGAAAAAATGTTCATCATCATTAGCCATCAGGGAGATTCAGATCAAAACCACATTGAGATACCACCTTACACCAGTTAAAATGGCCAAAATTAACAAGATGGTAAACAATATGTGTTGGAGAGGATGTGGAGAAAGGGAACCCTCTTACACTGTTGGTGGGAATGCAAGTTGGTGCAGCCACTTTGGAAAACAGTGTGGAGATTCCTCAAAAAATTAAAAATAGAGCTACCCTATGACCCTGCAATTGCACTACTGGGTATTTACCACAAAGATACAGACGTAGTGAAAAGAAGGGTCATCTGTACCCCAATGTCCATAGCAGCAATGGCCACAGTTGCCAAACTGTGGAAAGAACCAAGATGTCCTTCAATGGATGAATGGGTAAAGTAGATATGGTCCATATATACAGTGCAGTATTATGCCTCCATCAGAAAGGAAGAATACCCAACCTTTGTATCAACTAGACAGGACTGGAGGAGATTATGCTGAGTGAAGTAAGTTAAGCAGAGATAGTCAAGTATCATACGGTTTCACTTATTTGTGGAGCATAAGGAAAAACATGGAGGATACTCAGAGATGGAGAGGAGAAGTGATTTGGGGGAAATCGGAGGGGGGAACAAACCATGAGAGACTATGGACTCTGGGAAACAAACTGAGGGTTTTGGAGGGGAGAGGGATGGGTGGATGGGTGAGCCTGGTTGTGGGTATTATGGAGGGCACATATTGCATGGAGCACTGGGTGTGGTGCATAAACAATGAATTCTGGAACACTGAAAAGAAATAAAATTAAAAAAAAAAAAAGAAGAAGAAGAAGAAGAGGTCATGTAGTACCCAGGGCCTGGCACTTCAGGGAGTACTCTAGTGTGTGCTACGTATGCTCTGCTATTGTGTTCTGGCTGCTCTGTCCTTCAGGTCAATCATCTGCAGTGGCTCTCCTCACCTGCTATGGGTGGTAGTTCGTCCCTGGTCTGAATGTGGTGAGTTTTAATTAGGTGTACTCTAGTCTGCTAACGAAATGAGACCTGACACCAGTCTTCTTAAATTTGTAATATTTGTTATGTCTCTTTTTATGTGATTTAACTAGAGGATTCCTCTGTGTATACTTGAAGAAAAAGTGTATTCTATTTTTTTAAATTGAATGTTATATGTGTGTGTGTGTGTGTGTGTGTGTGTAAAATATATATATATATTTATCACATATATCTAACATATATATGATAGATATAAAAGATATATATCTTTTAGAACCATGTATTCTGAAGTACACTTCAGGTAAAAAATGTTCTTGGTGAAAATAACATTAACTGAGGATACTCATTTAAAATAAAACATATCAGAGAGAGGTGTGTGGGGGGATGGGTGAAATAGGTGGAGGGGATTAAGAGTATACTTATTATGATGAATACTGATAACAATGCATAGAATTACTAAATCACTATATTGTACACTTGAAACTAATATAACGCTGTATGTTAACTACAGTGGAACTGAAATAAAAAAGCTTAATTTAAAAAATGATAAACATGTTAGTAAATATAAAACAAAGTTTTTCTTGTTTTAATCTTTTTAAAGAGAACTGACTATCAAGTCACATTAAAGCTGGCAGAAGGCCTCAGTACCTTGCCACATGGATCTCTGTGTGAGATCGCTTGAGTGTTCTCACAACATGGCAGCTGGTTTCCCTCAGAACGAGTGAGCTGAGAGAGACAAAGGACCTGTAATGCCCATTATGACTTCCTCCAAAAGTCATGTATACCTTCACTTGTAGCACATTCTAGTCATTGGATGTGAGTCACAAAGTCCACACACCAGGTGAAGAGACTCTTTTGAAGGAGTGTCAAAGAATTTATGGACAAGTTTAAAAACCATAGGTATGTTGGTTTAAGTAGCTGGAAGTAATGAATACTATTTTTGTCACACAGAATTCAAGGTATTCTTTGTGTTAAAAAAAAAAAAAACGATTCTGAGTTTTTATAAAATTATCCTTTATTGATCAGCTAGATATGGTGGGAGTATCAGCCCAACAGCAAGCCCTCCAATCCATCCCCAACCCAAAGTATAAATATGTGACCCAGAGGCCACTGGACAATATCACCACAACACCTCTTGTTTTTGTGTATCCAGTATCTGTCTTTCCTGGTGAATTATTGCTCCATCTCAAGACACAAAAAGATAAGTTGGAGTAGGGACATAAATAATGCTGAGTAATCATGGACTTCTGTGCATCTATTCAGACACAGATCTAATAGAATGGAATACAGTGAATGGAGTGGTAAAGAGCATTGACTATAATATGAGACTCTTTCGGGTTAGGAATCTGGATCTGCCATGATGGAGTTGTGTGATTTTGTGAACGTTATTTAAACTTTTCTGTGTTACAGTTTCCTCATATCTAAAATTGAGATAAAAAAATAGTAAAAAGTATCTACCTCATAGGGTTGTTATGAATACCAAAAGAATTAAGATATATCATAAGTTATGTTATACATTTATATTTATATTATGTATGATTACATTTATTTACATGTAGCTACTGAGAGGCTTTGAATCTGTGACTGCAAAAACCCATTTTCCTAGCCGTGTAAAAGGAGACTTCCTATAGAATGAAACCAAAACAAAGATAGAATAAAAATTAAAATGTGGTACCAATATCATTTTGGAGCCCCTGAATCCAGCCATGTCTGAATCCATACATGGACCCTGGTGCTTAGAAGGCCAATATCTTCCTTTCATTTTTGCCCAAGATAAATTTGCATTTGAAAGAGTCTTGAGAAATCAAGTATGTAAAGCTAATAGCACTGTGCTCAGCACATAGTAAGTTGCCAGGAATGTTGACTTACACTGTCCCCAGGTATTATAGTACATTTCAGTGTAATTTCAGTGGGGGGAAAAAAACTGAATCTGGTAATAAGCTTTGAATGTTGTGTAAGTGGTCTTCTTAGTGTCCAGGTAAGTCAACTGAAAGAGGGTAAGTTGGTATTAAATTCTCATTTATTGGATCATTGTCTGAGAAGATTATATCCCTGCCCTGAAATAGGAAGGGTAGTACCAAATGAAGTGAGGCCTGGGTCAATTGTCCAGAAAAAAGAAATTAGCAAAGGAAAATAATAACTTTTAAAACACAAACCAAGAGGGACAGGGACAGTAGTAAGTGGATATTAATATAGGAAAACTACCAAAAGTTTTACCTTCATTATAATTTTGTCTAGAAATAGTATGGCACTGTTGTCTTACCATTTCAAAACTCTCTAATAAATTATGTTGAATCAGCTTCCTATCTACCAACTTGCTATAAATCATATCTTAGCTTAATACCAAACTATTCCTAAAGTTACTTCACTGCACAAAAGAAATTTAATTGCGTATCTAATAGCTTAAATCTACTTTTATTATTTGATTATATAAATTGTAACTTTTTATAAAATATACAATTTTTTCCTTTGAAATTGTGTATGAATGTGTACATTGTATATGAGAATGTATCAAGATATACGCACTCACACAGGTATTCTATAAGCAAATAATTTTCTGTCATATTATATATTTCTTGCTAAAGCATGCTTTAAAAGTGATAGGACAGTTAGCCTTTTGATAATTCATTATAAGAAGAAAAGGCCAGAAGTGTAATTTAATAATTACGTCCAATTGAAAAGAATAATGGGAAATACAAAGCTTCTTTTTAATTCACATAATGGACATTTTGAAAATAATATGTATGCTATATTTTCTAGAATTAGAACAGTCCAAAAAAATCACTTGTCACAATATTAGTATCAAAATGTTCTTACTTAATTTCTAACCAGAAACTGAGAAGTGGTCACAGACACTAATATGAAGGACATAAAATTTAATTAGACTGGCTTTGTAGTGACAATAAGAAATGCCTGAGGCCACTGAATTTTATTCAATTAAGTCATATCCAAAATATGACCAAAATTAACTGTAAATGTTGAAATATAAAGTTCAACATATCTAAAAACTAAGAGATATTTCAAAATATTGATGTGGCAAAAATACTTTGAAATCTGGCAAATAATCAATTCATTTTTTAATTATTTACTCAAATGTGTAAGCTGCACATTGGCAAGGCTCATGCCACAATTTCATCAAAATTACTTGTCAAAAGCACACAATCACATAATATACTGATAGTGGTGATTATGAAGTGTAAAGTTAGAATTTGTAGCTATAGTCTGGTGCTGGATTATCATATTCCTCAGAATTTCATAGCAAATTGAAAACTAATATTTTAAATTAAAATTTTTGTGGCGTTTTCAATTTCCAATTTTTACCACATATGCTAATTATTCTTTAAATATTCATGCCATGGGACATGTTCTAGAATTCTAAGTCACATAAGTTAAGCAGGTTTACCTTGGCCATAATTGTAAATTTGGAATTTGGAAAGTACAATGAGCAAGAGGGATTTAAAGGAGAGAGAAAAAGAAAATGACATCTTTCTTCTGAGCTTGAAGAAGGCAGATCATGCAGAAGAGAACCGGATGCAACCACAGTGAGAATTGACTTATATTCATACCACATGCTAATATTTTTGATTTCACTGCTGTTTTTTCTCAGTTCAAATAGTTCACACTCTTGGCCTCATGTTGAGCAACACACCTGCTAGTAGGAAGAAGACCTTGAAGCAGATGATCTGCTACACTGCTCATAGCACTTGCTCTGTGGGGAAGCTGTGCTCATTTTCAACTCTGCTGTGGATGAGAAGACAAACCAATAACGTGTGGTAAGTTGAAACACACACAAAATTAACTCTGATATTCCAGTAATGGAGAAACCAATCAAAAGACAACATATTAGCCAGTACACTAACTTTGATTGATTCATCATGGTTTTCTCTAACAAGGCATTTATGTTTCTTGTTAAAGTAACTGGCTTGCTTGCTTTCCTCTAAAGTCACATGTTTATAAACCTAGTACTCTCTTTAAAAATATTTTACATTTTCTTTTCCAAATGATAGTCTTCCATGAGCTTTTATAAATCCTTATGTTTGTTCCTAGTTCTTCATAATTATTTAACCTTTGAATACTATTGTAATCATTAAAAATCATCATCATATTAGTGGGTAATGGGTAATAGTCACCATATTAATTATGACAATGCCTCTGATATTGCTATTGTTTTGTTATTAATAATATTATTATTTTCTCAATAAATGGTCAGTATCAAAGAAGCATCCCAACATATCCTAGAATAACTATCCTATTCTTTAATAGGCTAACAAATGGGGTCTCATGATATGAATTGTAGTTTTTAATAAGATAATAAAGGAATGCCAGTGATGGTATTTTTCTGTTTTGAATGATACGTTAATTGAAGTTTTAAATGACTAATATACTGTATATTAAGGCTAAAGTTTACTTAACAAACACAAACATTGCAATTATCATGACCAGGCATAATTATAAATGCTTTAAAATATTAACTCATTCAGTCCCATAACAATCCTTTAAGATACATCATGTTATCACAATTTGAGTTCAGGAGACAGTGTACCAAGTGTAGTGTAGTGGTAGAGTTGGGATTTGAACCCATGTAATCTGGTTGTAGAATCTCTTTAAACAATGTGCTGTGTTGTCAAAAGAAAAAAAAAATAGGTGAGGGGAAGAGAGGGAAGAGGGGGATTATAAGATGATGGCTGTGGTAATACAATTTTTGATTCTCATAAACATGGAGCAACTAGATAGTAAGACATACAAAATAACTGAAGAGTGTATCCATAACTCATAAGCAATATTTATAGCAAAGCAAGGTGTCAAGGTATCCCTATAAACTTCAAAATACAGTTGGTTGAGGAGCAACCACCAATGACCAGAAGACCCATATTTTAACAGCTTCAGTGCATGAAGAAGCAGAGGAAAGCAAAACGATGTCTGACAGAAGTAAGAAAATGAGAACCTCAAAATATGTAACACACCCAGACAATGGTATTGTCATGTGAAAACAGTAGCTGAAACTGAGCGTGTTTCTGCCAAAACTAGTATGAGATGAGTTGAGGGGTCCATAGGAAAAATAATCTAAAAAGACCAGAGCATTTTGGCCCCTGGGAAATCTCAAAGTTTCTAGTTAGCTCTCCTAAGCTAAGGAGAAACTGCCTGGAGTGAAATCAAAATTGAGCAAGACAATTACAATAGAGATGAAAAAAAGAAAATTTTAAAGAAAGTGAAAAGGGAAAAAAAAAAACAGGAAATCTTAGAAAACAGGCTTCTATAGTTTTGGTGTCAAATGAAAATAAGAGAAGGAACTGAGAGAAGTTTAGGAACTCTTCCAAACCTCCTACTAAAGTTCAGAAAAAAATAATTTCATATCAAACTAGGAAATAAAAATTATTGAGGTAAAATTCCATACAAACTTTTTAAGTGGAAGCATGCCAAGAAATGTATACATATATAATATTGATGAAATGCTTCATGCTAGTTCAAGATGAGCTAAAGTATGTTAAAAACTACTTAACATGAAAAACACATTAAAAATAACATGAAAGAAAAACTCAAGTATATTGACAGAATTCAAGAAAAAAATAAAATTTCAGAAATAAAAAATGAATTAGAAAAACACAAAAATGAACAAATATGTTATACCTAAGGAGACATACAAGGTAAAGAAATGAAAATTTTAAAAATCCAGGTGTAAATGAAAAAGATTAAGAGAGAGAGAAAGGGGGAGAGAAAGTGGCAAATTTTGAAGACAAGTAAGGAAAATCCAAGAAGGAAGGCTCAACAAACATCAATAGCAGCACAAAGAATGGAGGAAGAGTTGGGGGGAGAAACACTAAAAATTCCAATTTGGGAAAACTTCCTTACAGAAAGAAGCATTAAAATTACATATTGAAACACTACCACATACATGAGAGTATAGTCCCAAAATAAACAATGCCAAGAAATACTTGGCTTCAAAGAAAAAAAACAAACTTTTTGACATTAGGCACAGAAAGAAATTGAATTCTAAGTCAATATAAGGAGAAAAAATTAGTTCATCATCAGTCTTTTTGACAGTAAGAAAATTTTAACTCCAAAGAAAATAATATATTTAAGATATGCAAGAGGGAAAATGAGGGCTTAAAACCAGCAAAACTGATTTCAACTATAAAAGTCCAAGTAATTATCACATTAAGAACTCAGGAAATACTGTTCCTATAAGCCCTTCCTGAGGAATTTACCAGAGAATGAACTTCAGACTACTAAAATGACTGATAACATTACCACAAGAATTGTGGCCAGCATTAAGTCTATGGGTATTTGTAGATCTGGGTAAGACTAAATGAATGTTAAAATAGAGGGAGGGGGCACCTCAATGGCTCAGTTGGTTAAGCTTTCGACTCTTGATTTTGGTTCAGGTCATGATCTCAGAGTTGTGAGACTGAGCTCTGGGTTGAGCTCTGTGCTCAGCAGGGAGTCTGCTGGAGATTCTCTTCCTCTACCTCTGCCTGCTCCCCCAACCAATATATAATTAAATCTTTAAAAAATTTTTCTAAAGGGGAGTCAGTATTGTTTGAACAGCTATATACTCAGATTTTTTAAATTGTGAAATAAATGAGGAGGGTTTTTATGAGAAAACATAGTTTAACTATTCTCATTAATTATATTAGAGATGGTAGCATTAATATTATTATTCAGAGATTACTGGATATCTAATGTTGTATAAAGCAAATAAGTAATTATGAGTCATTCAAACTATATTATCACTTGTCATACTGAATGAGTATTTTTTATTTGGAAGAAAGGAGATGTAGATGTAATATAGAAGAATTGATTTAAAAAAATCCTGCAGAACTTTATTTGAATTGGAAATATATATATGGATTCATGCTACTGTGTTATTCATTTCTACTGTGTTGTGCTGACTGCATAGCTATGGAATGCAATCCAGTTACAATGAACAGACTGTAGTCTTTAATTTACATTTAGCACTGAAAGAAATTGGTGTTTCATGGAGAAATGACTGATTCCAGGCCTAGAGCTGGAAATGAACAAAATGAGTAAAATATCTCCAAATTAGACAGGAAGAAAGCCTTCAAAGTCTATTATAGTCATGTCAAAATGATTCAAGAGCCAATCTGAAGATGTGCTCATTGGCGATGATAGCTCATCTTTCTTCATAATGTATTTAAAAAGTAATTGGTTATGGGCTGAAGCCTTTCTTTGTTGGTGCAAGACCCTAGTGCTTTTCCTGCCTCATCATGGAAGCCCATACAGAAAAAGGGACTGGAAATGCAGAGCGGTTTGGAATGCTGAGCCCCCTTCATGGAGAGCGGCTGTTCTGGAGAGTCCTACAGTCCTGTGATAGACTTTATGGGAATTAAAAATAAACTTTGGTTAAACTACTGGGGGAAAAAAAGTAACTGGTTAATGTTGAAGGATTATAGGGAACCAAGTATTATGCAAATAAAAAGATAAACTCAAGCATTTATCATGGATTTCCAATTTGAATATTCCAAGGGTAACCAAACAGTGCCTCTTTCTGAAGTACTTAATTCATAAAAAGAAGTGAAGGACCAAGAATATGACTTTATTCTGCAGCCTCCAATGAATTAATGGACCTGTGCCTTAAAGATAACTGCTGATGACATCACAACAAAGACATATGCAGACACTGGTATACTAACTCCAAAATCTAAGTCATCAGATACTCTACAGGTCAAATACCAGCGTTCTTCAACAGACTATGGATGGCTTAAAAGACAGCAAAATTACTAAATTATGTTAGCTAGGGATTCTCACATGGATGTAACATTGTAAGGAGTACAAGGAAGTGGTAACTGGGATGATGATCACTTCTGGAAGGAGGGAGGGAATTAGACTGGTAAAAGCATCATGGAGAGGTCTCTGAATTCTACTTATTGACTTAAGCGGTGGTTACAAGGGTGTTTACCTTAAAATATCACATTGAGCCATACATTTTTATGTGTGTTTTTCTGTATCTGCATTTTATTTTCTAGTACAAAAGGTAAGAATGATAACAATTGATTTATCTTTTATGAAACATTTACTTACACATTAGCATGTATCCTATCTTATGAGTGTATATAACTTTCCTATATATCCCTATTTCATCAACCCCATCATTAATGGCTTCTTTCAGTTTTCATACTTCTTTTTTATATAAAAGAAATTACCTGCTATACGATCTTTTATTTCATCCTCCATAATACCACCAAAGGTGGTATTTCAAAAATTAGTATTTGAGATAGAACAATTCATGACTAGGATGTCAAATATAATTTAAGAAAATTAGATATAGAAGTTGCAGGCTGAGACGACATCAGGAAGCAGGAGATCAGCTAGAAAGCTTATCTAACCATTGCAAACACCTACAAATCCAACGGGAAATTGAAGAGAAGAAGAGCAACAATTCTAGAAACAGAAAATCGATCACTTTCTGAAAGGCAGGACCTGCGAAGAAGTGAATCCAAAGCAACAGAAAGATAGACTACAGCAGGAGGGGCCAGTGCCCGGCAAGCGGCAGAGCAACAGAGCACAAAATCAGGACTTTTTTAAAAGTCTGCTCCATGGAGGGACATCGCTTCAGAGGCTAAACGGGGGGAAGCCCATGCGGGCTCAGCATAACCCCACGTCCCGCGGGGTCACAGAAGGACTGGGGGTGTCTGAGTGTCGCAGAGCTTGCAGGTATTAGAGTGGGGAAGCCAGCTACAGCGACAAAGCCGAGAAGTGAGCTCTCAGCTCAGAGTTACCTT